GCCCAGAAATAAACCTATACGTGTATGATCAATTAATTTTTGACAAAAGTACTAAGAATGTACAATGATGAAAGGATAGTCTATTCATTAAAAAAAATGGATAGAAAAAAATCGATATTCAGATACAAAAGAACAAAACTGGATCCCCCACCTTGACCATACAAAAAAAATCAACTCAAAATGGATTAAAGAGTTGAATATAAAAACTGAAACCTAAAACTCCTAGAAGAAAACATAGGTGGTAATCTCCTTGACATTGGTTTGGCAATGACTTTTTAGATTTGACACTAAAAGCAAAGGCAACAAAAGCAAAAATAAGGCGAGACTACATCTTCAGAGCTTCTGTACAGAAAAAGAAAACAGCAACAATATGAAAAGGTAATGTACTGAATGGGAGAAATATCTGTAAACCATATAACCAATAAGGGGTTAATATGCAAAATATAGAAAAACTCATATAGCTCAGCAAGAAAATGAATAAAAACTTTAAGGTGGGCCAAAGACCTGACTAGTCATTTTTCCAAAGAAGATATATAATAGACAAACATATTTAAAGTAAACAAAATCACTATCTCCGAAAGGTGTCTACACTACCATGCCATGTTCACTGCAGTATTATTCACAATAGCCAAGATATAGAAATAATCATTTTTTAAAAGATTTTATTTATTTATTTGAGAAGGGGAAGGGGACAGAGGTAGAGGGAGAAGCAGACTCCCTGCTGAGCAGGGAGCCTAACATGGTGCTCTATCCCAGGACCCCAAGATCAAGACCTGAGCTGAAATCAGATGCTTAACTGACTGAGCCACCCAGGCACCCCTATAGAAACAATCTTAAGTGTCCACTGGTGGGTGAATAAAGAAAATGTGATATGCAGTATGTATATACACACACGCACACATTACACACACATTTTAAAAAAATAGGTATCCATTTATTTTCATGTGTAATAGGAAAAAACATAACTAGCACATAAGATTGATGGCAGGATATGTTGTTTAGTATAAGACTAAAGTTTGAAATAAGTAAAATAAAAAAAATATGTTGAGCAAAGAAAATATTAAAGAAGAAAAGAGCAGGAGGTCCTCAGTTACAACAAGAATTGTGGAGGTGGTACATGAATGCCCAGAGTTTGGGACTCACTCTCCAAGTTTTGATCCAGAAGCTGGGCTCTGTTCTGAGACCCCTAAGGGCTCTACAGGGAGACCCTCCTGGTGCTCAGAGCCCAGGACATCACCATAGGAGTGTGTGGTGGATCCAGACCACCCCAGGGAGGAAAGTAGGTTTTGTTTCATTTGTTTATGCTCTACAAGACATCTCAGAAGTTAAAAAGCAACAAAAGTGGTTTTCCTTAAAAGAGAAGAAGAATCTTCTAGGTACAGCCTTGAGGAAGCAATAGTCACAGGGTAGCCTGGGTTGGAGGGTCGGAGTGGGACACAGCTGGGTGGGGATAAACAGGGAGGTGGAAGGGACACCCCAGCACTGTCCTGGAAGAGTGTGCACAGGTGTGGGGTTTGTGTACACAGCCCCAGTCAAGGCTATAGGAGGAACACTAACAGCTCCTGGACCCTGTTTCCCAGCATACAACTGGCACTTAATGCCAAATCACTGTGGCACTGGGAGAAGTGCCAGAAGGCAGGGCAGAGGGGTGGCTAGCGTCCCTGGTATATCAGAGTATACCAACCTCTTCTCCTGAACATTATGCTCATTATATACACACACATACACATATCTTATGTATATATTATATATAACATATGCATAATTTATATGAAATATAACATGATATCGTTTACATATAGAATTTTTTTTTCAAGTTGAATTCATGGAAACAGAGCAGAATGGTGGAGGTCAGGGGCTCCAGGGCAGGGGAAATGGGGAGAAGCTGTAACAGGGTATAAATTTTTAGCTGTAAGTAAGCACTAAGATCAAATGTAAGGGTAACTATATGAAGTGATATATGTATTTTCTAATTCCATCAAACATGTATTTTTTATTATGTTCAGTTAGCCAGCATACAGTACATCATCAGTTTTTGATGTAGCATTCAATAATTCATTAGTTGCATATAACACCCAGTGCTCATCATAACACGTCTCCTCTATAATACCCATCGCCCAATTACCCCATCCCTCTACTCTCCGCCTTTCTGTAACACTCAGTTTGTTTCTTGGAGTCCAGAATCTCTCATGGTTTGTGTCCCTCTCTGATTTCTTCCCATTTAGTTTTCCCTCCCTTCATGATATATGTATTAATCAACTTATCTATGGGATTCCTTTCACAAAATATATGTATATCAACAGTTCAGATTATACACTTTAAATATATTACATTTTTTGTCAATTATACGTCAATAAAACTAAAAAGTAAAATACTTAAAAGTAAAATAAAAGCCACCATGGCAGCACTTTGAAGGAAAAACAAACAAAAAAATGTATTTGATCTGTAAAACTTCTCAATAAGAAATATCAGAGATAATAAAGGTAAAAAATAAAATTCAAAAGGAATAGTGATACAAAGACTGAGTACACTAACAACACAATTAGGTGTCTTGTGATGGTAATAACTGTTAATAACAAATAAGGTAAGAGAATGAAGATTTCACATATAAAGTATAGGTCAAAGGAATTAGAACAGGAGATACCAAAACACAGAGCCCTAAGAATGGTTTATAGGGAAAATGTTAAACATGCAAAAGCAAGAAGCAGGATTATGAGAAAGTAAATAGGGTCAATAGTGCTGATGTGCTTTGGAAGGGAAAAAAATGCAGAAAAAGGAGGGGCTGGGGGATATAAAAAGTGCTAGGAACATGAACATTACTATTAAAAAATAGAATTAAAAAAGAGCCAAGCAGTTCCTTGTGGTTTTTGTACATTGTACAACTTCCAATAAAGAGGGCATCCGGTTCACTGATAAGAACTTTTTAAGACCCTATAGTATAACCTAGACAATTTCAGAAAGCAACTCATACCTCAACTGCATGATTATACAAAGTTGTTTCACAGTTTGAGATTTCTGGTTTCAACTTTATGAAAATGACAGAAGAAAGCACTTCAAATTTCATCTACCTAGGTTAAAAGTTCAGAGCGTAAAAGTGTTGTAGTACTTCCTCTGAAGAAGAAAACAAAACAAAATAAAAACTCAAAAGAAAAGAGGGCAATCTACAAAACAAAATAGTAAAGAAGACAGACAAAGCAAGCAATAGCAGTCAAAACTGTCAAAGAGAGCATGCGTCAGAAGATCAGTTTGGCATCAGTATTCCAAACTTTCATTAATCACCTCAAAACCCATAGCTCCACCTCAATCTCTTTCCCTCTTGCCTCCTTCACCCTGAAAACAAAGGATTCTTTTAACTGTCTGTGTCCTTAAGAATTTTCCTAATCCTGTTATTCCTTATTCCTGCCCTCTAGCGTCCAAAGATAAAATATCCTGCTCTTAGCTAAGACTAATTTTTTCACCTGTTCCAACCTTCATCCCACCTTTTCCATCATCATCATCAATCCCCTCCTTTGGTTGTATTATCAATTTCTCCCTCTTTACTAGCTTTCTTCTTCAACATATAAATATGCTCAGGTTCTTCCATCTTAAAAATACAAAAGCTCTGCTTCCACACTGCAACCACTCCATACTCATTAGCCAGAATGAGCTTTTCCAACATACAAACCCAATTAACTTGATATTCTTGCTGAAAAATCCCTAAAGAGTTCCCCATTACCTTCAGAAAGACTTTCAAGATATTAAGATTTTATTTCCAACCAATAAATACTCCCTCACTGGGCCATATTCTGTCATGGACTTATCTGTCTTGTAATCATGGACAAACTATCTGTAATTTCTCCATTTACTCCTCAGATACCTGTAACTCATTCTCTAATATGCAAAATATAGAAGAACTCATATAACTCAGTAGCAAGAAAATAAATAAACACTTTTAACTTGTAAAAAACAGAATAGATAAATTTATAAAGACAGAAAGTGGATTAGTGGTTGCCTGGAGCTGGAGTAAGTGGGAGAAATGGGGAGTGACTCTTAACAGACACAGGGTTTCTTTTGGGGTAATGAAAATGTCCTAAAATTGTGCTGATGGTCACACTTCTCTAAATATTATCAACTAATGAATTGTAAGCTTTACATGGGTGAATTATATGGTATGTGAATTATATCTCAACAAATGTATCGCTTGGGCACCTGGGTGGCTCAGCAGTTTGAAGCCTCTGCCTTCAGCTCAGGTCATGATCCCAGGGTCCTGGGATCGAGCCCTGCATCGGCCTCTCTGCTCAGCAGGGAGCCTGCTTCCTCCTATCTCTCTGCCTGTTTCTCTGCCTACTTGTGATCTCTGTCTGTCAAATAAATAAATAAAATCTTTAAAAAATATATATTGCTAATTAAAGCTTTAACTTGAGGGGAACCAGAGTGGCTCAGTCAGTTAAGTGTCCAACTCTTGATTGCAGTTCAGGTCATAATCTCCGGGTAGTGAGACTGAGTCTGGCATCAGGCTGGGAGTCAGAGTCTGCTTGGGATTCTCTCCATCTCCTTCCGCTCCTCTCCCTGTTTGTTTGCTCTTGCTCTCTAAATAAATAAATCAATCTTTTTTAAAAAAGTTTTAACTTGGAAGCCTCAACAGTTAAAAAGATATTAATATGTCAGTGTTCGGTGTTCAATCTAGGCTCTTCTTGTTTTAAATAATCATATCCATTTTTCCAAGATTGAAAAAGAAGTAAAACACTTTCACCATAGAAAATTATAATTTTTTTACTCCCTTGGAAATAGAACATTCTCTCTGAGACAAGTAAATCTATTATCTAACCTTTATACTCTCCACTTTCATATAGATTTTTAGGAACACATGGAAGTAATAGAAAGCCTCTATAACATAGTAAGTCCTATAACCAAAGTATAAATAAAGAAGTGAGGAAGTACAGTGATTGGAATAAATTATCCTTACAGAGTTTACTATTACCTCTTTAATGAGAGGACTTTCCCATCAATCTGCAACTTACCTTCATCATAACATTTAGTGCATATTTTTGATCTTCTCGCCTTGCTGCTGCTTTTGCTTCTGTAGCTTCTTTTGCTCTTTCTTGTGCTTGTAAAATAGATTTCTCCCTCATTCTTTGCATCATCTCTTTGTCAACTAAAACAAGAAATATCACTAAATTAGGATTATGATGAGTGTTTTACTTAGGAGAAAACTGCTTAAGACCCTGATCCAGGATGCAATTTGGGCGGGAGGTGGCGGAGGACAAATTCACATAGAGAAGTGAAAGCATTTCTCAATATTAAACTGGCCAAGAAGCTAACATTAAAAGGTAAGCAGGCAACTATAACAGCAATTATTTACTGCAGAGGTAGAGAAGGAGAGAGAAAGAAAATATGAATGAGAGAAAGTGGGAACAAGAGGAAGGGTGAATCAGAGTGAGAGGGGAAACAATGAGGACAGGGAGAGGGACATAAAAGGGAGAGGTGTAATGGGAAAAGAGAGGGGGAAGTGGTAAAGAGAGGGGGATGGGACAGGATGGAGGGAAAGAGTACACATTTATCCTTCTCCCTCTTTCAGGAAACCAAGGATATTTGCTTATAAATCTAATCACAATAAATCATCACTATGAGGTCTCCTAGAAGAGAAGATGAGATTTGTTTTGTGATAGCGTAATAAATCCTACAATTTCGAAGTAGTGAGTATAAAAGATAAATGTACTTCATAATATAAATGTCTTCGTGATACTTGTTGATACAGCTGTTGTTTGTTGCCTACATTCATGATGGAAGGGAATGCTAAATTTCAGTTAACAGTTAAAAAAAAAGTCTGGAATTTTAATTTTCAAAGAAATTGCCTTAAAAAGGAAAAGGGGGGCGCCTGGGTGGCTCAGTGGGTTAAAGCCTCTGCCTTTGGCTCAGGTCATGGTCCCAGAGTCCTGGGATCGAGCCCCACATCGGGCTCTCTGCTCAGCAGGGAGTCTGCTTCCTCCTCTCTCTCTGCCTGCCTCTCTGCCTACTTGTGATCTCTATCTGTAAAATAAATAAATAAAATCTTTAAAAACAAAAGGAAAAGGAAAAAAGAAGCATGGAATTTTTACTAATTCAAGATCTTAACTAGGCCTTAGGACTGGAAGTAAGTCTGAAACTTCTCCCAACCCTCCTCCTGTTTAATAACAGAGTGACAGACAACTGGACCAGATTCAAGGATAAAGGATGAAAGAACCTACTTTCACATTGAAAAATAATGAAGAGTATACCAAGAAAAAACTTCAGAAGAAAATTAACCTATTATGTTCTGAAAAATGAGGAAGACTTGGCATATAGATTGGAGTTCCACACACTTCATGTGAGAAACAAAATTGTTAAAGAAATAATTTCACTGAGTTGCTCTGTAACTGAGTTTGATTTCTAAAGGACTTTCAACCCTGGTTTTTGAAGTAAAATCAATGCTCATTACTTATTACATAAGCTAGTTTTAAGACTGTGTTGGTCAATCTAAATCAGAGTTGGCACACTATGACCAAATCTAAACTACTGCTTGTTTCCTCTAGCACACAAGTGAAGAATACTTTTTACATTTTTAAATAGTTGAAAAATCAAAATAATACCTTGTGACATAAAAATTAGATAAAATTCAAATTTCGGTGTCCATATATATGTATTGTTTGTTGGCTACTTTTGTGCTACCATAGAAGAACTAAGTAATTGTGCCTGAGACCATAGGGCTCCTAACATTCAAAATACTATCTGGTCCTTTACAGAAAGAATTTGTTAAACCTTGGTTTAAATGGTCAAATTTTGGAATGGATGATCATATTACCATGAAAGAGAAGACTCAAGCAGGTGTGCATTGAAAGCAGATTTATAAAATAGAGAGGAAGATCATGATTAGGAAATAAAATTATTTTCCCACTCCTGGAAAAGATAGCCAAGCACGTTAAGAAGAGAATTTGACATAGAAGAAAGTGTCATGTAGGGAAAAGTAACAGGTTTTCTGACATGATTCTTCTTTCTCTCTCTCTCTCTCTTTTTTTATTTATTTACTTGTCAGAGAGAGAGCGCCCGAGTGAGAGAGAGAGAGAGCACACAAGCAGGGGGAGCAGCAGGCAGAGGGAGAAGAAGGCTTTCCGCTGAGGAAGGAGCTCAATGTGGGACTCGATCCTAGAACCTTGGGATCATGACCTGAGCTGAAGGAAGACGCTTAACCGACTGAGCCACCTAGGCATTCCTTGATTCTCCTTTATATCCTAAAAAGTTGGCAGACAAAATATTTCCTGGAGAGAGACAGACACACACACACAAACATTTAAGTCACTGGTTCTCAAGCCTGGTCAGTCATCAGAATCACCTGCGGTTCCACCATTCCCAAGCTGTTTATTTTAAAATGAACCATTATAAAATAGATGATGGTTCTGGTACCATCTTACTTTAAAATTAATATCATCAACAAGAACTGAAATAAATAAAGTGTTTACATTTGATCTTAGGTAAGAAGTCAGAACACCCTGGGTATGTTTCATGACAGAGTCCCAGGCCCCATCTCAGAATTACTGAATCACAAAGGAAAGAATGAGTAGGACAGCAAAAATGTAGTTTTTAAAAACTCTTCAGTTAGGCTGGAACCCACTAAAGAGCTAAGGTAACCTGGCTATGGTAATCTACCTTAGCCAGTATTTTCTGAGCTGAATACTAGACTTTAGATAAAAATTCTACCTGGTCTTGAGGGTTACAAAATTAAATTCCACTGCAAGGTATCAAGAAAGAATTATTATAAAGGACTGCAGGGTGCCTAGCTGGCTCATTTGGAAGAGTATGTGACTCATGATCTTAGGGTCATGAATTCAAGCCACAAGTCAAGTGTAGAAATTACTAAAAAATAAATTTAAAAAAAGAAAGCCTGCAATCTCCCCATTGTCAGTAGTTCCTACTCAAGACTTAATGCCAGAGGCCTAAGAGAAATTTCAGGCAGTAGATATAAAGCCCTAGAATACATGACAACCAGAACAGGGAGGAAGGAAATAAAGGCAAAGCAGCAGGGGCAATTACTCAACCACAAAGTCAATTGTGGCAGAATAGAATAGAGTACTCATTAAGAGTACAGAGAACAGAGGATCTCGGCTTTGCACACTATAATCCCTGGAAAGATTTTCCCACTCACAGAAACTGATTTGATTGGTCTAGGGTGAGTTTCAGATATCTGTATTATTTTAAAGTTTTGTAGGTGATTCAAATATGTAGCCAGGGTTAAGAACCACAGCTTTAGCATCAAATTGCTAAAGCTCCAGTTCCAGTCTGCCACTTATTAGTTGTGGGACCTGTGCCAATTATTCAACACTCTGTGTCTCAGTAGCCTCACCTTAAAAAAAAAAAATGGGGATCGGAGGGAGGTAACCTAAGTAATAGGTTGTTCTAAGGATTACCAGATGTGTTAATCCCTAATACAAAATAAGTGTTCAATAAAGATCATACCAAGAGGCCTTATCCTCTGAGAATACAAGCTCACATCTGTTTGATAGCTATTATAAATGTGCTCTAACTTTTGAATTATTCAATCTTTATGTTATTTAAGCAGCAGCTGAAGCACTATGTCATTTAAATCATGCTCACGTTCCTATTTTTTCTTCTAGAAGAGAAACAATTGTTCTGAAAAAAAATTTTTAAGGTATAAAATATAAAAAGCACAACCAGATGAACATCTTTTAATAAAAAACTTACCTCCTGACACAGAAAGGGTCTCCCACATGGCCACTTCTTTTTTATATAATGTGAATACAATAGTGTCATTCCCAATCTTGGCTTTGCTGTTTTCATCGTCTATGGGTGCATAGAGAAACACTTCAAATAGAAATGGAGAAAAGTTGACCTATTCAGACGGGAGTAAACAGAGGTTAATTTAGTTAAACAAAATAAAGACACAGCCGTTAAGAAACAAGAGATAGAGGTCCAGATCCCTTTTCTTAAATTCCTGCTATAAATTTATCCGAATAACAAGGCATATGAAGAAACCCTGGATAAAAATAATCTCTGGTCTGATGACATCTTTCAAAGATGAGGTATCATCTCATGAGATTCTACTTTAAAAAAAAAAAAAAGAATTAAATTTTAGGACGCTTATTTGCAAGAACGCGCCTGTGGCGTATACAGAGCCGCGCTCTCAGAAGCTGGGGACCACACCCCGGGGACACGGCAGGCACAACTCGAATTCCTACCTTCAGATAGTTTTCTGTGCAGAACACGTCCGCGTCTCTGACGCAGACGCCCCGGAGAGGCACAGAGATAAACACCGCTGTCTTTGTCTGCTGCCAGTTGTAATCGCTCACCTGCAGCGGCATCTCGGGAGGTGGATGGACTGGAGGATGCGGATGGTTAGGACTAGCGCGGCTTGGTTGCTACGGCAACCGGGGTTACTACGCACCAGCCCTTCCGGGTCAGGCCGGCCAAGGTGCCCCGGCTCCCAGCGTGCCCCGGGCGCGCCTCTGAGACCGGCTCACAAACTCCCCTCGTGACTGCCCGGGCTTCTTGGAGCGGGCGGTAAGACTACTTCTGTGGCTATAATCCGTTCCCTGAAGCCTGAATGAATCATCGAATAAATAGGTCTTCCTTTAAGAAAAGAGCTTTGCTCCCGAGGATGCAAAAAAAGAACAACAACAACAAAAACGAGTTACGGTGGAGAGTGACCTGACCTGTGAGAAGCAGGTGCACCGCCCCTGCGCCTAGCAGCCCTGGCCTTTTGTTCTGATGGAGGCTGTCAGAACATCATTTGTTGTTCCTGTTTTGGAAATTTCTTGGCCGTACAGAGGTCCTGGACTGGGAATTTGGCCTTAACTATTGCAGTGCTCCAAATCCTGTTAACTGTAAGGCCTCCAAAAGATCAAATGTAGGGTTCCTTACATGGTTTAAGACCTGGAAAGAAATGGCCTTATGACTCAAGTGACAAATGCTTGGCTGCAACTCAGCTGTAGGATAGCTTGGATTTACACGGATACATTTTACAATTGCTTAAGAAGACAGAACCTTAGCTCTGGAGTGACTTTAAAGGTGATGTAGTTCATCCTGCATATTTAAGGAATTTGACACCCACACATTTAACCCCACTGCCATTTAGATTAATGGCAGAATAATGATTAGAATCCTGTTCTCTTAACTCCCATTCCAATAATCCTTCCCTAGGTTGCTTTCTCTAGACTCAGTTTATAAGTTACTGAATTTAATGTTTAAAAAAAAAAAAAAAGAACAAAAAAAGGGGTGCCCAGGTAGCTCAGTCCGTTGGGTGGCTCTTGTTTTCCATTACGGTCCTGATCTCAGGGTGGAGAGAGCAGAGAGGCCTGAGCTGTGTGTTTTGGGAAGAGTCTGTGTGAGTTTCCCTGCCTTTCCCTCTGCCTCTCTTCTCTCTCTCTCTCTCTCTCTCTCTAAAATAAATAAAATCTTAAAAGAAAAAAAAAAAAGAAAAGAAAAAAGGACAAAGTTAATTTACCCAAATTTAAGCACCTATGAACTACTTGCCACCTATGGATTTGGATTTTAAACTTTTTACTTTTGCAGGCCACTAAAACAAATTTTAAACCTCCTGGAAATACTTGGGAGAAAAAAAAATATATCCTCTTTTCCCCCAAACAGGCTACCCCTCAGTACCTTATCTAATTTTGTCAGAGGTTCATCATCTCAAGGTTCTGTAACTTTGACTACTGGGAGCCATTCTTAGACTTCTTTTCCTTTGTCCTCACTTTTGGCATTTTCTTCCCTTTGATTCTATTCTTACTTTTACCATTTTGTTTCAGACTTTCTTGTGTCTTCAAAAGAGAGGATTTATACATTTCTTTCATGTAAAATTTTAAAGACTAGATTCTCTGACTATATAAAAAGTGAGATAATGTATGTATGGAAGATAATGAAAGGGATACTTTTTGTCATTTGGGGCTTTAAAAAAAAAATCTATTAGCAACCACTTTGTTAAGCACATACACACCTCTGCAGTTAAATTGTTCTCTGGACTACCATAGCCTTACTAAATTTCCTACACTCTGAATGAATTATCTTTTTAAAAAACTTGATAAGTTTTATTACTGAATCATTGCATCAACTATTACTAACTTAAAACACTAATTTTTAACATTGTTTTATGATTTATGTATTTATCTAAACAAGGTTTCACAACCTTGAAACATCCCATCTTAAAGTCTTAAACTATTTATTACATTTTAAAAATAAAAGAGATGTAATTTAACTCATGTATAGATAGAAGTTTGATATATAGTAGAGGTGGCTGTGCATGTAAGTGGGGAAAAGCACAGAAAGGAATGGCTCTTGAATACATTGTTGATATGAAAAATGGTTACCACATTAAAAAAGGAGATTAGATTTCTACATCATATGGTATCATACACAAAAATGAACTTAAATGAACTAAAAACAAAAGTTTGGATATTAGAAATACATACGTAGCAAAAAAATACATATCCATATGACCTTGGAGCAAGACAGGAATTCTTAAATAGGACATAAAAAGTACTAACCATAAAGGAAAAAGATTCAAAATTTGAACTAATACTAAGAACTGGTGTCCATCAAAAGGCACAACAAGGAATGTGAAGATATTTTACATATAAGCCCTTCAGCCAAAGACCACAGGCACACATATACTTGAATAAGTTGAGTTCAGTACTCACTGAGCAAGGCAGAACATACACCACTGGTTGTCTCAGTAAGACGATGTTAGAATTTAGGGAAAGGTCTAAGGGACTCTCTCTCTCTCTCTTTTTTTAAGATTTTATTTGGCAGCGCACAAGCATGGGGGAGCAGCAGAAGGAGAGGGAGAAACAGGGTCTCCACTGAGGAACCCAATGTTACACTCAACCCCAAGACCCTGAGATCATGACCTGAGTCAAAGGCAGATACTTAACCAACTGATCCAACCAGGCACCCCAGGAGGGTTCCCGCTAGATAGGTCCTTTCAAAAAACAAGGGTAATTCTATGACTAAGGAAGTGACTCTTCATAACAATTTCCTAGCAAAAACCTGAAAACAAGCCAAATGTTTATCAATAGTTTTATTCACACAACAGAATATCATAGAACAGTGAAAATTAATTATAACTATACACTGGATGGATGAGTGAGAAAAGTAAGTCAAGTCATCTCTTGGTTAAGAATTCTTATCTATGTGGTAAAATTATAAAGGAAAGTAGGGCACAAGAAAGGACAATGATTAACTCCTAGGTGAAGGTCTTGCCAGTGGGACCCTTTGTGAGCTGATTTCCACTGTGTGAATTAAGACAACAGTTCTCAGAATGTGGTCCTCTTACCATAATATCAGCATTACCTAGGAATTTTCTAGAAATGCAAATTCTCAGACCTCATTCCAGGTCTACAGAAATTCTGGAAGTGTGACCTAGCAATCTGTGTTTTAACATGCCCACCAGGTAATTCCAACCCACACCAAAGTTAGAACCACTAGGTTAAGGGCTAGGTTTTATTGGTGAAAAGGGAACTTTGTTTACAAAACTAAGGAAAAAACACAGGTTCCACCATTCTGCAATCATCTCAAGGAGAAGTATATTGGGGTCAGAGCACTATGTTAGATCTTCAGTGTGAGTTTGCATTATAGAAGACAATTCCATCCCTTTTTTGCTCTCCTTTCTTGCAGGGAAAACATGAAAGGAATCTTGTCAGTAGGGAAATAACTGGGGCACAAGGCAGTCTTTGTTTAGGTACAACTATTTATTTGTCCAAGAGGGGTACATGGGTTACTCAGTCAGTTAGTTGTCCGGCCCTTGATTTCCACTCAGGTCATGATCTCATGGTTTGGGGATTGAGCATCACATCAGGCTCCACACTCAGCAGGCAGTCTTTTTAGGATTATTCTCTCTCCCTCTGTCCCTCCCCCATGCACTCTCCCTCTCTAAAATAAATAAATGAATCTTTAAAAAAAAAAAAAAAAGACTTGTCCAAGAAACCTACCCAGGATCTTTATACCTTGAATCACATGGAAAGTTTTAGTTGGAAGAAGGTGATAGTACCACGGCCAGCTGGGTTCAGATGCACTCCCTCCCACTGGGAGACCAGAAGTCCAAGTCCTATTGGCTTGTTCCCTAAATAAACCCAGAAAGAACACCCAAAATAATTTTTGTTTGATTCTGTTAATTATATCAAAGCAAGCCCTCAGAGAGCACCAAAGAAATTGTCAAGTTATATTTCTCTCTCTCTCTCTCTCTTTGTTAAAATTTTGGGTGATAGATATGTACTACTTGTACTGTGATTCATAACTTAAAAATACAAATATCTGCATCATGTTTTATGTAACATATTATAAAACTGAAGTAAAAAATTAAAAACTAACTCTATGGTAAAGGAAGATCTCTATTTTCTCCTTACATATTGTGAGGTTCTGAGGGAGTGAAAATGTACATTATGAAGTCACAATTAAATCTAATTTATTATTCTTAACCTAAAAATAAGTAACTATAATTTTTTATTTTTGATGGTCATATTATCATATTTGGCCACTGGGAAAGGTTGACTATGATTTTTAATATCATTCCAGAATTTTAAAAGCCATTTAAGATAATTTATTCTTAGAACAAGATGATTTAGAACCATTTTTGACATTTTTTCTTTTTTTTTTCCTCTAGGAAATGGAATCAGTTATTCTCTAAGAAACCTTAGTTCTTTTTAAGATTTTATTTATTTATTTGAGAGAGAGAGAGAGATCACAAGTAGGCAGAGAGGCAGGCAGAAAGAGAGAGAAGGGAGGATGCAGGCTTCCTGCTGAGCAGAGAGCCCGATGTGGGACTCAATCCCAGGACCCTGAGATCATGACCTGAGCCGAAGGTGGAGGCCTAACCCACTGAGCCACCCAGGCACCCACCTTAGTTCTTTTTAATGGAGACTAGCATATCAGACCAAAATCTAGGCACTAGATCTTAAATGCATTAGTTATTTTACTATTTTAAATTTGGGTTTTAGAAAAAGACAATGTGTTCTACAATTAGACAAGAATATACAGTTAGATCTCATTTAGAAACTATAAAGTGACTATTCTTTTCCTTTCATTTTTGGTCCATATATCGTAGATTTACACTTACGGGGTACAGATCTTGATGATTTTTTCTATTAGATTGCTTTAGCACAATATCAGTTATTTAATTTTTTCAAAAGTCTGATCGGCTCTTTACAGATAAAGAGCTTGAAAGCCAACACTCCACCCTATGTGAACAAAATTTAAAAATCAACAACTCTTCTTAGATCCATTAAAAAAGTGAGGTCACAGAGCAAATCACTACCCCCAAAATTGGAGAGGCCAACAAATGAATACAGAGAATCACAACCAATTAAAGAAGAAACCTCCATGGGAACAGTGTCAAGATAGGAAAACCTGAACTGTAGTTCACAAATTGCAGCTGACTGTGGGTAAGTTTCAGACATAAAAACTCCAGGGAGACCCAATCATCAGGGAGCCCCTACACTTTTGTGAGTTTCAC